CCCTCTCCCTCTCCCTCCTCCTCCTCTTCCTCTTCTTCCTCCTCCTCTTCTTTTTTCTTCCCCTTCCTCTTCCTCTTTTTCTTCTTCTGCTTCTTTCTCTTCCTCCTCCTCTTCCTCTTCTTTTTCTTCCTCCTCTTCTTCTGCTTCTTCTGTATCTGCTTCTGCTTCTGCTTCTTCTAAGACTTCCCATTGTTTGTATCTATAAACTGGCAGAAGAATGATCTACAGCTTATATCCAATCCTTCCCCTATAGAGGAAATGTATCTAGTTTATAGCGTGTGAATGGCATGTGTGTCCCATTGTGCTCAACAGTAAGTCAGTGAACAGCTTCTGTAAAAGTATCTGTTATTCGCCTGATATCATTGTCATCTTGGAGGTTTACTGCTATATCTGCTAGCCTAGGCCTAGTTCTGGAAGCTTCTAGCATCCATACAATCTTATTTAGGCCTAGAATGTTTTCAGCCTCTGAGACTTACTGCTGAATAAGCAAGCTCACCCTTTCTTGTTCTTTCTGAACTCGGACTGGCTGATTCAACTAAGCTGTTCTGGCTCAAAGTCTGCTCCAACTTTACTGATTCAATATAGCTTCTCTCAAGGTCTCTGACTGAGTTGATCTGCTTGGCTTCATACTAACTTTGGCAATCTGTTCTAATCTTTTTGCTCCCTCTCATTCTCTGGATCATTCTGTCTTCTCCTGTGTCTATCTTGTCTGTTTGCAACCTGTGTCACTATTAGGGTCCTGTTAAAACTGCCTTCTTTCTCTCTGTGTACTGCTCCCTCAAGTAGTTTCCGTTTCCTCTCTCTTCTTGTGAGAGTTGGGCCTATCCTATTCTGTCAAATCTTTCTCTGGTTCATCATTTTGTCTGCCACTCAATTAGATGTCACTTTCAAACAGGGGTGCTTCTTTCTATGAACTAACTTTACTTTCATTATTTGGGATTAAAGGTGTATACTAAGGCCATGTCTGTATTCCAGCCAGGGGGATTAAAGGGGTGTGCTAAGGGCTGAGCCACACCACACCTAGAAACAGTGTCTTTTCACCTTTATCATATTTGGATTATAATTGTGTTTCAAAGTAGAAAGTCGGGCTGGTGAGATGGCTCAGTGGTTAAGAGCACTGACTGCTCTTCCAGAGGTCATGAGTTCAAATCCCAGCAACCACATGGTGGCTCACAACCATCCACAATGAGATCTGATGCCCTCTTACAGGGTGTTTGAAGACAGCTACAGTGTACGTACATGTAATAAATAAATAAAAACCTTTAAAAAAATGACTTCTCAAAGTAGAAAGTCAACCTGAATGTTAACCAGTGACTTGGAATTTAAGTTAGATGTTTTTCTTAAAAGATCAGAGCTGGTGATATGGCTTAGTGGTATTCTCTTGCTGTGAAGTGGCACCATGATCATGTGAAACTCATAAAAGAAAGCATTTAATTGGGGACTTGCTTACAGTTTCCGAGGTGTAGTCCTTTATCCTCATGGTGGGGAGGTGGCACGCTGCAGTAGATGAGACCCATCATGATCCACAGGCTGAAAGAGAACCTGTGCCTGGCGTGGGCTTTTGAAACCTCAAATGCGCACTTCCTCCAACAAGGCCACACCTCATAATCCTTCTCTTTTTTGAGACTTATTCATTTATCTTATTTATATGAGTACACTGTAGCTGTCCTCAGATATGCCAAGAGTGCATTGGATCCCATTACAGATGGTTGTGAGCCATCATGTGGTTGCTGGGAATTAAACTCAGGACCTCTGGAAGAGTAGTTGGTACTCCTAAACACTGTGCCATTTTTCTAGCACTCATAATCCTTCTTAAACAGTTCCACTCCTTGATGGTTAAACATTTAAATATAGGAGCCTAAGGGACCCATTCTCATTCACACCACCACAGTGGGTAAAGGCAAGCCGGATGATGTGAGGTCAAGCCCCAGGACCCACATGGTAAAAGGAGAGGAATGACTCCTACAGGTTGTCCTCAGATCTCCACATGTGTGCATATGCACACATGCTTGTGTGCAAACACACACACATGTATGCACACATGCATGCATACACAGGCGTGTACATAGTTTGGGGGAAAGAGAGAAATGGTGTACAGATTTTAAATAATAGAAAGGAAACCAGATTATTTAACTTTTTTCAAGTAGTTCACAGTGACAGTTTGGATTTTTACAGGAGCATCCAATACTTGGGCAACCATTTTTTGTTCTACATCCCTGCAAGACAAATGAATTCATGACTGCTGTGCTAAAGAATTCACAGAAAATCAATAGGTAAGAAACACCATCAAGACTCATGGTACTCTACTCTGATTTTAAAAGTGTAAATCTTTTCATGTGACTCTAAAAGCCAGGCTAAAATAAGAAATATTCTTTCTAATAATAATGGTAAACACATCGATTCTGTCTGTATGCTAGGTGTTCTGGGTTTAGATATATGAACACACTGGGCTTTTATAACATCCCAATAACTTTTACTTAATTTTCAGAGAAGAAAGCTAAAGCACAGAAGAGTTAGGCAACACTATTAAAATCATGCAGCTAGTTTAGGGTAGGACTGGGATTTGAATACAGGCAGTACCAGGATTTTAACTACTGGCTCAACAAATGGTATAAATTCAAATGAAATTTGGAGCCACCATGAGGAATCAGAGATCTCTGTTCTATTTTCTAATTTGACTACCTTGGTGAGAGATCTTCACATACCCTCTGATCACAAATCCAACTTACACCACCGCATGGCTGGCATCCAGGCAAGCCCCAGGGAAAGGCCTCATTCCCCTTCTTTTGGCCACTCACAGGCTTGCCATCAGAAACTATGATGGGACATTCGTATTACATATATCTTACTTGTTTCCTAGAAACGTCAACTACATCACATCATGGCTGAGCATCGTGGGGCCAGTTGTTGGTCTGAATTTACCTCTGAGCTATGCTAAAGCAACAACACAGTCGGAGTGATTTGTTAACAAGCAAGGTAAAGAGAAAAAGCCTGGGTTTCTTTCTTTGTTGTTAGAAAGATGATGGTGTCTCTCTTACCCTTAGCTACACCTCAGGTCTGGGGTAAGTTTGCATTGTCTTTATTAGGCTGGGCCCTGGCTTGTTCACTCATGTTCCAACAGTGACCTATCCAGTTATCTGGGAATGGTTTTATTTTGTTACAGAGAGTATCCCCACAACTACAGGAGTGGGTAGTTTTATTTTATGGCCACTATTCTTGAAATAAGACTTTACTGGTATTATTATTATTATTATTATTATTATTATTATCTTTGCTTTCGTTTTCTCCTCGTTCTCAGATCCACTGATCCTAGAAACTGCAGCGTGAAGAACACCAAGAGCTGTACCTGGGAAGCCTCAGTTTTCATGGAAATGGGACTGTAATGTCTCATGTCACCAAGATTTGATGCGGATTTCTTTCCTTGGAAAGAAGACATCTGCAGAAACCTGTTTGGAATAGTGGTTATGTGAAAGGAACAAGTCACAGATTCAGATCACTATAAATAACAAGAATGAACCTAGTTCAGCAATGATGTCATTTATGACATTATCAGGACTTGTACAGGTCATTTTTGCCTAGGCACAGTTCTTCTGTTGGAGATTGATGGGGAAATATATTGGTGTGCTTGCTTTAGTGTACAATGTATGAAAATTAAATTGTAGAACTTGCCTGTTTGGGGCTGGAGAGATGGCTCAGTGGTTAAGAGCACTGACTGCACTTCCAGAGGTCCTGAGTTCAAATCCCAGCAACCACATGGTGGCTCACAACCATCTGTAATGAGATCTGATGCCCTCTTCTGGTGTGTCTGAAGACAGCTACAGTGTATTCATATATAATAAATAAATAAATCTTAAAAAAAAAAAAGAACTTGCCTGTTTCTGAAAATTAATATTATAAATATGGCTCATCTTAAATTATTCTCCCCCAACTCAGGAACAATGGATTACTTCTCTATTACTCACCTCCCAAAAATTGTGTGTGTGTGTGTGTGTGTGTGTTTATGTGTATAAACATAAAAAGTTAGATACAGAATAAAGCATAGCTGGTCACTTTAATAATGTGTTTTACAAGCCAAATATGGAATGATAACTACAGATTTTTTAAATAGCTATAGAAAACATTCAAGCATTGCAAATGCTTTTTTTTTTTTTTATAAAAATCACACAATCATTCTTCCTTATTCCTGGGACACTCATGACTGCTCTGCTGCATTACTGCAGGCCTTTCTTCATAGCCCTGCAGAGTTCGTTTTAATATGAGAATAACAAGCTGTCTCATAATGTTGCTATATGAAGTCATTAACACACAATTATTGAAAAGTGTATACAAATTTGAATTAAATACTCACCTGCTGCATAACTGACTACTGTTAATTTATTTCATAATATGTTTCATAGCCAGCAAGGCAGCAAGACAAAACTTATCTGGAGGAATAACAGGTTGCTTTATTTTAGATTTTTGTTTTCTAGATGATGAAAGTAAGTGGAAAATACAGTTGTTATAGTTCCTTCCATGAAGTGTGCCCTGCAAAATCCCCTGAGGATAGCATATACCTACAAATGCCAGAGCCACCTTCTGGAACATCTTGTCTGCGGTGACCTTGGCAGCCATACTCCCTGGAAAACCACTGCTTTGGATTAACCTTTACTATAGCATTGATTTGTGTTCCATTAGTCCCAGCAAGCCCTGTCGGTTCTCTGAGTGATAGACTTACTTCCTGGTGTTTGTCAACACAAGGCTCCATCATAACCTGATAAACTCAGTGTAAGCTGATAACACAGTAAGCTGAAGATGTGTTAAACAAACCTAACCTACTGAGCATCGTAGTCTAGCTGACCCGTTTGACTTTTGAACTTGTATGCTTTGATTTGTTTTGTCTGTATACAAGCACAGGACAGGACACTTGCCACAGAACACTTGTAGAGATCAAGGACAGCTTGTAAGTCTGGGTACTCTCCTTCCACGAGTGTCCTAGGGATCGAACTCAGGTCATCAGGCTTGGCCTTGGGTGGCTTTACCCTCTGAGCTACCTCCCTCATTAAAGCATTAGCTGCCTTTAAATATGCTCAGGACACTTACATTAGCCTGCAGTTAGGCAAAGCTAACTTATAAAAAGCCTATTGTATAATGAAAGTGCTGAATATCTCACATGTACAGGCATCTAGCATTTTGTAAATGTAATGGGATGTGAACGCACAAAGCGTGGTATCTACAAAAGCATGATAACAAATACAATACTGTAGAGCACTGTTTATTGAAAAAACATGTTTTCAGACAATATACTGTGATCATGTATTTCTCCTTCTCTAATTCCTTCTAGATCCTCTGTACTCACCCAACTCTATGTTATTTTTCTCCCTTACTCTCTAAAGCATAGATAGTATAAAAATTAAGAATAGGAAGGAAAAAAAAAACAAGAAACACACACACACAAACTCCACAAAGTGAGAATCAAAGTAAACAAAAGAAATGAAAGAGAGAAACCCAAACAAAACAAAAATAGACAAAAAAACTACAAAGATACCATTGAGTTTGTTTTATGTTGGCCAGCTACTCACATTGGGTCTACCCCTGACATGGAGTTCATATGCCTAATGGGACTCCACTGGAGAAAACTGATTTTCCCTTTGCCAGTGGTTATCAGTTGCAGATAGGTTCTTACTTAGAGGTGTGATCCTGTGTTCACTTCCTCCTCCCAATGCTGGAACCCCATCTGGCTTGTACCTGTGCAGGCCCTGTGCATACTGCCACAGTCTCTGAGTTTGTCCATGCAATTGTCCAGAAGATACTTTTTCCCTGAAATTACCCATCATCACTGGCTCACAGTTTTTCCTCCTCCCTCCTCTTCTTCCTCTTCCTCCTCCTCACCCTCCTTCTTCCTCTTCTTCTTCCTCCTCCTCTTCTTCAACCTCCCTCTCCTCTTCTGCATAGCTCCCTGAGCCTTTAGGGAAGAAGTTCCATGAAGGGTCTCTTTTAGGGTTGAGTTCTCCAAAGTCTTTCACTCTCTGCACAGTGTCAAAAACTTGGCTTCTTTAGTTTCATGATCTCCTCAGCTTGCTGTTGATGCCTACTGTCACAAGAAAGTACTGCATATCACTAGCTCAGGAGAGGATCAAAATTCAAAGTATGGCTTCTGCTGCCTGTGTATCACTCTCACACCATCACGAAGTTACAAAAAAGAAAGAAAGAAAAAATAGCTGCACTACTGTAAGTTGGTTTGTCTGTATAAGAATTACAGGAACATTTAGAGTTTTTTTTTTAACAAGATGGTCACTATGGTTTGAATAAGGCTCATCATCTTTGAAACTTTTGTTGAAATTTAATTCCCTGTGGTATTGAGAAGTGGTAGTTTGTTTAAGAGGAGAACAGGTTGTCAAGTGGGTCTGATTCAGATCTCAAAGAACTAAGTCGTGTTGGGAATTGCTTGTTAGAAAGCAGATGTAGTGGTCTGAATGAGAATGGCCCCCATGGGCTCATGTGTTTGAATTCTTCCCTAGTTGGTAAACTGTTTAGGAAGGATTAGAAGGTGTGGCCTTCTTGGAGGAGGTATGTCAGTGTAATGGGTGGGCAACCAACCTTGTTTACAAAAGTTGAAACACAAGTCTTCTCTTACATGAACAGCCCCCAGCATTCCAGGAAGTTATCTGTCCTTAGGCAAGTGGCTCTTACAGGTCTGTCTGTCCATGGGCAAGTGGGACTTGCATGTTAGAGGCAGTTTTTTTTTAATAGGTCTCTTCATCGCAGTAATGAAAACTTAGAACATAACTTTAACACTCACAAATCCTGTGTTAAGGAGATAAATGGATTGATGAAAATGAAAGAAACCAGGTGCTAAAGGGAGTGGTGACCTCAGGGCGACACCCTACCTAGCTATACTTCCAACTTGTGAAAAGCAACTGAAGAGAAGCTTAGGCACATTGTAGTGGCCCGAGCCTTTAATCTCAGCACTTGCAGGCAGAGGCAGAGGTGCAGCTTGCTCTGCAGATTGAGTCTGGACAACCAAGTTTACACAGTGAAAGAAACCTTCAAAAACAAAGCTGGTAAAAATGTATCTGACGAGTGGGCCATGTTCCAGCTTGAGCAAACAGCAGAACTTGGCAGCTTCACCCATATGGTTTAGGCTTTAGAGTCAAAGATACAGGAAAGGGGTTATGGAATCTCCCTCTGTGTCTAGGAAAAACTGCTGAGGCCAGGCATGCTGCAGGGATATCCCTACATGGAGACCCATACAGGCTTTCTTATGAAGCTGTGATGGTGAAGCCTGGGTTGCCTTGGAGACCGCAAGATGTGGGAGATGCCAGAGTCTTAGGATACCTGCCCATAAGAGCTGCTAAGAAGGAGTAGAACTAGCCCACGAGAGAGAAGTGTGTTGCCTTCAACAAAGCTGAGAGGAGCTGGAAACCTGAAGAGCGCTTTGACATCAGGCATGGAGATGCAGAGTTTGGTCTTGCTTTGGTTCAATATTTCCTTATTATGTCCCTCTTCTCCTATAGAAACAGTGATATATATCCTGTGCCATTGTATATTGGAACTGTGTGATCTGCAATCTGCTTTTTTATTTTGGTTTTATAGGGGATTACAATTCAGAGATTGCCAAGAGTCTCAGAAGAGACGTTGGACTTTTAAACAGGGTTGGCACTTTGGACTGAGTGCTTTTTTTGCCTTATGATATGGCTGCATCTCTGAGGGCAGGGAGGGGAATGTGGTGGGTCGAATGAATGCGGCCCCAGAGCTGCATAGGGAGTGGCAGTATTGGGAAGAATCAGAACAGGTGTTCTTGTTGTGTTGGCGTGACCTAAGGACAGTGTCTCCTTACAGCAACAGCACAACACCTAAGACCACAGGTTAGCCCTTTGTCCCCTCTACTCTTCCTTGCATCTACCTGCTTTCCTGCTTTCTGCCGGAGGTGAAGGAGCATAAGGCTTTAGCCAAGTGCAGCTGACAGTTCTTGAGCAATGAGTGAAAATAAAGCTTTCCCCATATAAATTAATCTCAGCTGTCTTGTCACATTGAGACAAAGTGCCACCTATGGCCATGAAACTGGAACCTCTATTAGGCGAGGTAATGCACCTCCAGGGAAGTACCCAGGCCACCTCTGCAGGGTAAGGACTGAACTCTCAGAACATGTAGAAGTAGAAAGGGTTAAACTGCGAGGAAAGCTACGAGTAAATTTAAACCACTGATCTGCTGGTACCAGAGCTTGCTCTATGCGGGCTGGGCGCTTGCTCTATGCGGGCTGGGTGTTTTACTGTGTACCACTTAGCATCTTTGCAGCTTCTCCAAGGGAGGTTTCCCTTTACCCTCCCTAATATGAACAAAGATTTCTCAGCAAATCATTTCCTAAGCCTGTGTTCGTGTGTGTGTGTGTGTGTGTGTGTGTGTGTGTGTGTGTGTGCGCGTGTTTCTGAATAATGTAGTTATCTGGAAAAACTAGTTATCCTTTGCTCACCAGCTCTGGGATGTTAACTTATCAGCTTAGGACTACTTTAGGTTTGGTTTGGGCTTTTGTTCTTTTGATACTAGCAATTAAACTAAGGGCCTTGTACATACTAAGCAGTCTGTTTTCAGACTCTTTGAGGCAGGGTTGGGTGGGTTGATCTTGAACTCATTTTGTAGCCCAGGCAGGTCTCGAACTCTTGATCTTCCTATGTTTGTCTTCCTAGTAGTTTCGACTGCTAGCTTGTGCCACAAAGCCTGACTCCTTAGGAGCTTTCAGCGGCTGCTCCTTCACGTCGCCCCTCCTCTTGTTTGTGGTG